GTAGTAAATTCTTTGGGTATATTCTAGGGTTGTGATATATAATCTTAATTGAGCTCCAGATTATATTATTTGAAACATTGTTACCTTTTGATACATCCATATCAAAGTTGTTTAAACCTAAACAGGTGCCAATTTAGTTGACAAGAGAAGCTAATTAAAAATAATAATAATAATTTTTATCAGAGGAAATGTCATCAGTGATTGATGCAATATAATTTTAATTTAGGGTTGAAACATAACAAGAGGTCCTGATGTGATAGAATTTTACATGATGACAATAATAATAATAAGATTGAAATAGCATTAGGCTCGAATCCTACATAGTAGGAGTATATAAAGATGATGGAAATAAGAGAGAGGAAGTAAGTAGGGGAGGGGAAAGAGAGAAGAAAAGAGAGAGAAAGAATAAAGCAAGGAAAGAAGGAACAAGTGAGAGAGAGGGATTATGTAAACATCTAGATTCTATATTATAACTATTAGATAAAATATGATTGTGAGAACAAACTTTATTTTATAAAAACAATTTAAGGATATGAGAAAGTATAATTTATTATTCACGAAATGAATAAAGAATGACAAATAACATCAGGATCTTTACAAAAGACAAGATATTTCATATTATTATTATAATTATTATTACCTTATTACCTTAATATTCTGTGATATTTTGATATGGATATAACCACAGGCAGTAATATCTCAAGTCATAATATCCTTATCGTAGTTAAAATTGTATGTAATGCAATCTTAGAACATCCCACCCACTTAGAACTTTTGTGTTATAAAAAAAAACTTTAATTTACTGAGGTTTCTTAGTTTTGGGCTGTACTCCTCTTTAGCTGACATCACTTTTACATTGCATGGCTAAGAATGCAGGGACACTGCACCCAAACCACTTCACCGAGATTATGGTCTGGTTGCCTATAGTGTCCCTTTAACTTTAGTTTGGAGATGATTTAAATAAGTGGGCATTGAGGACTAACTTTATAAAAGTTTAGCTACTGATCTTGGGTATTCTTCAATGAAACTGAGAATCTATGATTTTGCAAGTTTACATAATGCCATATGGAAAAAAATTTCCCTTTATGGTCTCTCCTCTTACACATGGCTGTACAATTTGGAAAAATAATGAATTGTTGATATTTAATAAGGTTCCCTAATTGGGTTTCAATTCTATCACTATTAGATCTAGAATCAGTTCCCTCCTCTGCATTTATCGAGATGTCATATTACAATTGCAAGGCAATTGCAAAGTCTTATGATAGGAATTTACTGTATATAAATATCCCATTTATATTAACAATATGAACATATTGAAGACATGAAATGGATAATGAATAATATTGGGATTATTTTTTATAACTATATAGTTATCCTATAATTTAATCAATATTATTATTCATCTTTACATTTGATGTTATAATCTTACACATTTGTTATGTAACCTCTCTTTTCAAATAAATTGGCACCTGTTTAGGTTTAAACAAATTTGATATGTATGAATCAGAAGGAAATAATGTTTCAAATACTATAATCTGTACAGCAATTAAGATTATATATATATATATATATATATATATATATATATATATCACAATCCTAGAGTCTAGGGGTGTATGCATTAACAGCAACACTACCCAAATAACCTCTTAAACATTTAGGAAGTGGTTAATAAAATGCAAATAAAAATATATATATACATTTATTGGGGATGGGGATTGTTTACTTTAGACTGAGATAAATAAAAAATATAGTATTGAGGACAAAGTTTATAGAGCTAGAACCACAGCTTTGGGGTATTTTTGAAAGGAGTTGAGAATCTGTACGGTGCGCAGTCCTAAACGGTAAATATATTCCTTCATTGTTTTTCTGTTCCATAAGTGGTGGTCAGGTAGGGGAAATAAGTTAATTGTTGATGGTAAATTAGGTTCCTCACTTGAATGTTAAGCCTATCTTTCCTCATATAAGATAGGCAGATAAAGACATTCAGATGGTTAGATGTAGTGTCAGTTCCCCCCTCTTAAAAAATACTTTCAATAGTATGCATTGTCTTCAACAACATCAGAGTGATGGCTCATAAATGGTGTTTTGATGTAGTTAATTAATAAAGCTGGGAGGATGTGTTTTTTGTCTCCCCTAGCCTTTTTAATAGTGATTTTGTTTTGTAACTCTTATTTTGAAAAGTGCTTTTTGGATTTTGTCCATGCCTTCCCCCCTCCCCCCCTCCTCGCCCCCTCCTCACCCCTTTCTACTTGCTGTAGAGACCATATCTTGTATATTTGGTTTTTATTATTAGATGGAATCTTGATGTGCCAGTGTATTGCCACCTTCAATAAAATTGCACAAGCAAGGGATTTTCTTTCTATGTGGTTCTTTGCAAGTAATTTGAGTATGTTATCTATATAGAGTATTTACAGGCTGAGAAATGTATCTCTTATGGCTGCCCTATGATCAAAGGAACCATATGCAGTAACCATAATCTGAACTCAAGACGTAATCATAACCATTACTCTATTAAAAAAGAAACCATGTAATAGAATCACGTAATACAAAAGATATATTTTTCTACAGCATTTATCAAGGGAAATATGCAATCATGGGAAACATTTGGAAACCAAATGATCTGGTTTATTATCTTGCCTACAGAATGTTTAATTGCAATATTTTCCCATAATTCCGGCTTTGAAATTCTATATACTTTTATATAACTGTGTATCAATTATTTGTGTATGTGTATATTAACATGCTTTAATGTAGTAGATCATTTCTTTTTCTATTGCTTAGTATATAGGTTACTGAAGCTTAAGAGGTTATCTGTGTCATTCTGAATGTGTGTCTAATGAGAATTTAGATGGCTTTGCACAGCTGGGTATTTGGTATTTCATAGCCTTCACTCAGTAATTACGTGGGTTTGAAATAAGTTAAAGAATGCATTCATATTGGGGGTTGTTGTTGGTGGTAGATATTTTTCTATTTTTTATTTTTTCATTTTTCTGAATAATTATTTTACTATTAGATGCAATTATCACATTACTGTCTGTCTGTCTACACACACACACACACACACACACACATATATATATATATATATATATAGACATTAAGTCCTTTAAATATCATTTTTTAGAGCTTGAGTGCCACCAAGTGGTACAGTTTATAATTTCACACTTACGATTTAGATAATTGTAAGAGTTAGTGAGGATAAAGAGCTTCTTACAAATGCCATGCAGTTCCCTGAAACACATAAGCACAAATGTTATATTTGATGCATGATTGAAGCTATACAAAAGGCTTATAGGAAAATTCCTATGTTAAAAATAAATATATTTATTTAGTCCTAGTGTGCTACTGTATTTGCTTAGATT